TACAATTTCATAAAGATCCATACACTTACACACAAGTTATTGTCATGAAACTAGAAAAATGCTTGTTTTTTGCCCCTTTTTTGGCCCCTTATTCCTAAAATTTTGAGGCAATTACCCCCAAAATCAATCCCAGCATTCCTTTTGTGATATGGAACCTTGTGGTACAATGTCAGAGAGATCCATACACTAACACACAAGTTATGTCTGGAAGTTACAAAAATGCTTATTTTTGGCCCCTAATTCCTTTACTGTTGGTACCATAACCCCCAAAATCAATCCCAACCTTCCTTTTGTGGTATTGAACCTTGTGGTAAAATTTCATAGAGATCCATTCACTTAAACTAAAGTTAGAGTGCGAAAACCAATGTGTCTTCGGACGACGCCGGACGACGACGCCAACGTCATACCAATATACGACCACAAAATTTTTTTTGCGGTCGTATAATAACAACCAGGACTGTTTTCAATCGAAGTTTTAATCAAAATGTTGAGACATCAATCCCGTAAATTATACGGGTTTTCGTTGATGGTTACAATATTTCCCCCTTTTAACGTCCTGTTCCTTAAAGTTATTTATAGAAACACAATTCTAAGTACAAGGCCAACATATCATATTTATAAAGTATATAAACAAATTGAATATAGGCATTGTGAATAAACTGTTATTTTCCTTTCGATACCACGTTCCCCGTCGGAGCCTCTAGGTCTATTCATACCTGTCAATCATTTCTCGCAAATAAAACAATTTGGTCAGCCAGATCATCCTGCTTTCTATTTTGACATATATTTCCCGTTAATCTCTTTGAAACAATTGTTTTGTTTTTTTTACAATATTTATAACGCAGTGATCATCTTTCGATTCCTAGTTTTTATATAAAAAAAACTTTTCATATGCACGTCAATATTGACCCAGCACTATTTTAAATTTTGTTTGTTAATAAATTTACATATAATAGAAATAACAGATTTGTTGACACTCGTTGTATTATAACAAAGATATTGCCTTTCTATTTCCATGTTTGAAATTTTAATGAAAATCGTGTTTTTATAAACATATTTTACGAATTGTGTCAATCAATACATGAAGATCAAAGTTTTACACTATTCATGATTAGCCGTCTTTACTTTTGCGTCGTATTTCTAGCCATTCTCTAAAGCTTGTGCAGTCAGTAAGATTTTGTAAATCGATGTCGGCAGTTTAAATTGTATAATTCCCTAACTTTAAAGGAGGTGTCCGAATAAATTATTTAAATAGGAATCTGGGTGTTGACTTATAAATATAATAAATAAAATTGGCAAACCATGGGCTGTTATATCTTTCTAAAGTTTAATAAACATAAAGACAATTATCAGTCAGGGGACTTACTTAAATGAGTGATTTTCTAAATCACTGATTCAAGTAACATTATGTCCATAAAGGTTGGAAGTAAGAGTTGTCTTTCTTTAATAATCACCTATTTAAGTAGTACAAATTAATGACTAGACTAAGTGATTTTATTTTATTGTAGCTTTAAATATAGAATACTAATGATCCAGGGACTAATTATGTTGCTAAAATTATCAGAACCAACATTTGTGTTGATAGGATGACCGGGTCATGTCAGGTGATGACCTTGTACTAAATCTAGGATAATGACATAAAAATCACTCGTTTAAGTATCATACCTCTATTTCCTTCCAAAAAATCACTTCTTTAAGTATCATTATTTTAATAACCCCAACTAATTTCAACACCCCCCGAACAGTGAAATTTTGATTGCGAACAGTAGAATTTTATTACATAATCTATCAGATGAAACCTTGAATTATACAGGAAAAATACTCCCACTGCTGGGAAAAATCTGTTTAGAAAGTATCAGTTCATTATATATTAATTATGTAAAGCCATTTTTATAGCATTTTTTCAACTAAAATAGAATTTGCAGCTAAATGATTGCATCAAAGGCATAAACCTTGCTGCTTAAAAGAATCAAAAAGTTTATTTTTTTCAATTTTACTAATGAAAAGATATTATCTAAACCTATGTGTTTAAAATTTTGGTAAAACTACAAAATCACAATTTGTGACAAAACTTCGAATTTGCTACTTAAATAAGTGATTTAAAAATCACTTATTTCAATAAGTCCCCCGACTGATTATAATATTAATAGAACTAGTACACAATTTAACAAAATAAAGGATACATGTATAATGTCCCTTTGAAACATGTAACATACATATGTTATCACAGATTTTTGATTTTTTAGCCCTCAATAACAAATGTATGTTATTTTTCTCTAATAACTTATTTAAGTTAGACCCTTGACTGCTAAATGCATTCAAATGGTGTGTAAATAAGGAATTATATATACCAAGTGTAACGGTACTCTTTTCCTGGCACTGCTATTTTACTGCTTTTAATAATTTGGTTAGGATATATATGCATTCCTTATTTAAGGTACAGTCAAGCATATGTATTTAAAAATAAAATGCTCCGCAGGGCGCAACTTGATACGACCGCAGAGGTCGAACCCTGAACAGTTGGGGCAAGTATGGACACAACATTCAAGCTTGATACAGCTCTGAATTTGGATTGTGATTAAATATTTGACACAGCATAGGTTTCTGACACAGAATGAATGTGGTCTAAGAACTTAAAAATTTTAAATTGGACATTCACCTATTATGGTCCAATATCCAAAATCTAAATACATGGTTAGATTCAGCATATCAAAGAACCCCAAGAATTCAATTTTTGATGAAATCAAACAAAGTTTAATTTTGGACCCTTTTGACCTCAATGTGGACAAAGTTGATAACGGGGCCCAAAAATCAAAAATCTAAATACATGGTTAGATTCAGCATATCAAAGAACCCCATATATTCAATTTTTGTTGAAATCAAACAAAGTTTAATTTTGGACCCAGATTTGGACCAACTTGAAAACTGGGCCCATAATCAAAAATCTAAATACATGGTTAGATTCAGCATATCAAAGAACCCTAAAAATTCAATTTTTGTTAAAATCAAACTAAGTTTAATTTTGGACCCTTTGGACCTTAATGTAGACCAATTTGAAAACGGAACCAAAAATTAAGAATCTAAATACACGGTTAGATTCGGCATATCAAAGAGCCCCAATAATTCAATTTTTGATGAAATCAAACAAAGTTAAATTTTGGACCCTTTGGACCTCAATGTGGACCAATTTAAAAACAGGGCCCAAAATCCAAAAACTTAATACACGGTTAGATTCAGCATATTAAAGAACCCCAAGAATTCAAGAATAAAACCCCATTGAAATTAATCAAGAAATAAGCAATTTATACGTAGTATCTTCTTTTGCACAATACTGTGCAATTGAATATTTCTTGCTATTGCACAATACTGTAAAATTGACAATTTCTTGCTATTGCGCAATATTGTGCTATTGGATATTTCTTGCTATTGCGCAATACTGTGCAATGAAGATTTCTTGCTATTGCGCAATACTGTGCAATTGAAGATTTCTTGCTATTGTGCAATACTGTGCAATTGAAAATTTCTTGCTATTGCACAATACTTATTATATAATAATTTACACATCCTGTTTGGTGTGTATCTCCTACCATATCATTATTATTTGCTTTTAAATATAAATCAGAAATAACCAACTTAAAATGGAAAATTTTAAAAGAAAAAAAAAAGGAAAAAAAGAAAAAAAAAAGAAAACCCCCCCCCCCCCAAATTTTTTGAACCCCTTATGATTCATCACCCCCAAACTCAATCCCAGCCTTCCCTTTGTGGTATGGTACCTTGCAGTACAATTTCAGAGGAATCCATACACTTGAACACAAGTTATTGTCTGGAAACTAGAAAAAATGCTTATTTTTGGCCCCTTTTTGGCCCCCAATTCCTAAACGTTTCGGGCAATTACCCCCAAACTCAATTCCAGCTTTCCCTTTGTGATATGGAACCTTGTAGTACAATTTCAGAAATATCCAAACACTTACACACAAGTTATTGTCATGAAACTAGAAAAATGCTTGTTTTTTGCCCCTTTTTTGGCCCCTAATTCCTAAAATTTTGAGGCAATTACCCCCAAAATCAATTACAGCCTTCCTTTTGTGATATGGAACCTTGTGGTACAATGTCAGAGAGATTCATACACTTACACACAAGTTATTGTCTGGAAGTTACAAAAATGCTTATTTTGGCCCCTTTTTGGCCCCTAATTCCTTAACTGTTGGTACCATAACCCCCAAAATCAATCCCAACCTTCCTTTCGTGGTATTGAACCTTATGGTAAAATTTCATGGAGATCCTTTCACTTAAACTAAAGTTAGAGTGCGAAAACCAATGTGTCTTCGGACGACGCCAACGTCATACCAATATACGACGAAAAAAATTTTAATTTTTGCGGTCGTATAAAAAGTTAGCAAACAATATTTACTTTTCAATTTGACAAAAACTGGGTCATGATCGTTCATTGGATGTAACCTTGTTCAACCATGCGAGACAATACAAATAAAGCAATCAGTTGTCAACATGGTCAATGTACGTCCCTTGAGATGGGACATTATATTTGATCTAAAAAATTAGAAAACGGCTGCTGACAGACCTTTGGGATCACTAGAATGTATTTTTAATGGAACGAGTTTGCAGTATTACGAGTTGTGAATGGTACGACTTCAAAGTGGTACGAGTTTAGGTTGGTACGAGTTGACTTTTAGTGGTACGAGTTAACTTGCTTCCATTGGAGCAGTAGAGAGCGCATATCCGACATCATTTTTATTCAGATTTACCAGGCCCTAGTCCAAATAATTATGACATCCTACGATAAAGTGTCACATCAAAATGAAAATATCATGTTATATGGACAAACCGGCTCCTCTGTTTGTCAATGAGCCAAACATAAATCAGAAAAACAGTTGATACATTTTGTAAATTTATACAATTGTAAATATAGTGTGTGAAACTTTGATCCTGATGCAGATGGACGTAGGTAATTACTAATTCAATATAAATATTTAGGAAGTCACCTTCTCCAAGTAAAGCAGTACAAATTGATATAAACACAATTAGAAGACAATCTGACAACATTTTCGTTGGCACCGGCTGTAAGATTTATTAACTTCCGGTATTAATAGGGCTAAAAGAATTACCATGTTTCCGGACTCGGCCCTTTCTGACTGACGATATAGTCCCTAGTGTGAACAGTCTATAACTTGCATTTTTTTTTTTATACACTTTCCCAATTTATTTCTTGATATTTTATGCATGAAATATTAAGTAAGGGGATGAAATTACATGTTAAAAAAATTTGGGTGCTGAATCTTTATGTTAAGTAGTGATTTGGTCCAGTTAAAAAAGGTCAAAAATTAGAATGTCGGAAGCTGTCAAACTGAATTTTAGCCCCCCTTAGCACAGAATTGTCAATATTTTGAGTTAGAGCTGGTAGAAGTTTCTATAATTTTGATATTATTTGCATCAATAGTAGTACACTACACTGTAAAAATCTTTTTGAGATAGAGCAGGTGCGATTTTTTAAATTTGAATTTATTGTCTAAAAGAAATGCACTACGAAATAACTGTGTTCTCGGGCCATAAGATAATACAGTAAAAATTTTCGCTCTGTATAATCTAATTAAATCAGACAAAGGTTTTTTTCTTTATTTTTTCCATTTCTGTCTATTTCAGAACACCACTCACAAACCAAAACTCTTATGTAAAGGGTGAATTTATTTACAGATGAAATGCCTAGCGGGACATTGGTGAAGTTTCTATCATGCATTCAGAATATTCTGTATATATATTCAATATGAAAAATGCATGCAAATTTCCAAAAAGGAGATCGTTCAACTTTTCCAGTATTCTAATTCGAATGATTTTGAAGATGTATAATCACCAGTGACTTGTATATTATATTACACTCTTGCCAAAATTAATCTAGTAAAAAATGCTAATAGATTTAGTGAAAATTGGCAAACAGTATGCAATTTTCACTAAATCTATTCGCATTTTTTACTAGATTAATTTTGATCACGACATATTTCATAGAATAATAAAAACAAAAACGACATACAAAAAACACAAATTCTTTTGGCAAAGAATAAAAGTAACAGCTAAACAGTTTAGCCCCCAAAAAGTTATCTAAGGACAACTGATAGATAAGATGAACATTAGTTTTGCTACATACAATATAAGGTCCGCAAATTGTCAAAAAAAAATTATAAGGACCTATGAGCTACGGTTCCGCAGCTATATTTTTACCTGTAAGAGTTTTAATTATAAAGTTATATTTTTATCGTATGCAAACATTTACGTCAATGTTACAAACAAAGCAGACATGTTTAGGAAATAAAAATGTCCTTTAGCTCATGGGTTTTGCCTATATAGACCTATTGATATATACACAAGGCGCTTGGAGACTGAACCTTTTTCTTTCTAATTATTGGTGTTTTTTCTCTCTCTCTCTCGTTTTCATTCTTTTTGAGTAGATATCATGTAACATTTTAACCTATTATTCACTTATATAATGTCTTCTTGCTCTTATTCATACACTATTACAATAGCAAGCGGTTTATCAATTCTGACCATCTATTTTGGGAATTTACATCATTTCGCTTATTTATCGTATGAATCAAGAACAAACACTTGGATTTTTTTCTGCATTGAAATATGTAATTACGCAGGACATTGATCAAAACTATGTTTCCAATACTTATATGACGTTGATGTATGAAATCGTCTCCGAATCACAACCGTCGATAATACTTCATGTACTAAAAAGGCTGACTTCATATCACTGACATGTGGAGCAGGATCTGCTTACCCTTCCGGGGCACATGATATCACCACGGTTTTTGGTTAGGTTCGTGTTGCTCAGTCTTGAGTTTTCTATGTTGTTTTGCATACTGGTGTTTGTCTTTTGGTCGTTTTTCGTTTTTTCATTGTATTTTTCGCCTCTCTTCTCTTAAGTACTGCGATCTGTCTTTCAATAACTAGTAGTATTTTTAACGGTAATGTTCATTTTTATTATTCTAGAATGTGGGTTTTTTTTTATCTTCCATAGAATAGAATATAGAAAGGAAACAGGGAATGTGTCAAAGATACGGCAATCCGACCAAAGAGCAGAAAACAGTCCAAGGCCACCAATGGGTCTTCAACGCAGCGAGAAAATCTCGCACCCGAAGACGGGCTTCCATATTTGTTTTATAAAGTCAGAACCTTTTCTATACTGATTGTTATTGTGTATTATGTTTCGTACTTTTCGTTATTAGATTACGTTTTACTTGAGATTACAAAGGAGATGGTTGAAATTAAAAAAAAATGTCAATATACAACCTGGACATATGTCCAGTACGATGTCGAGATTGATTGATTGTTGATTGCTTAACGTCCAGAACCTGGTCAGTAGTTGTCTTGACCTATAGCTTTTTAATTGTAAATTTGATGCTGAATTTAACAGTGAAAATTACAAAAAAATATACAATTAACCTTCTTAGACTCGGGGCCATTTAGAACTTGATGGATTGTATAACCATTTACACAAAAGTCATGTAGCTATTGCAAAAGACCCTTAGATTATAACACAATGTTGACTGCTGTACCCATTTTTTGTCATTTTTACCTATCATGTCTCTTCTTGTTTTGCTCAAACATTGTTGTCAATACAATGGAATTCTATGCAACTGTCATACAAGTGAGAGGTATAACTAGCTATAAAACCAGGTTTAATCTACCATTTTCTACATAAGGAAATGCCTGTACCAAGTCAGGAATATGACAGTTGTTTTCCAATCGTTTGATGTGTTTGAGCTTTTGATTTTGCCATTTGATAAGAGACTTTCCGTTTTGAATTTTCCTTGGAGTTCGGTATTTTTGTTATTTTACTTTTTTCTATTTATTACTTGCGTTTGACGAGAGCAAGTCCAATAACATATGATCTCTGGGGAAATAGTCTTGGTTCCTGTTTGTTTCATTATTTTGCAATTATTTTTATTTTTATTTTCTATTTGCTGTTTTTACTAGCATTCCAAAAAAAAAACTAAAACATTAGCAAAAAAAAACTCGTTAAAAATGCAGGAAGAAGAATGTGAAGTCATGTGTTATAGAACTAGGAATTTAGTAATCATTCTTTTACTTTAAAATGCGCAAACTTAAATGCAAGTAATAAGTAAAAAGAAGACATATGCGGATTAGGTAAGTAGTGATATCATGGTCGATAATCCTTAAGTTAGATTATACACTTTAAGACTGTAATTAGATAAAAGCTTACTGTGCAGTGTATTTTTTGTAATTTTACTTTTTTCTGCGACTTTTGTATGTTAACTGTTTCGTGTCGTCGGTACATACATGTATTCTTTCTCATTGGCGTATACTTCAATTCTCCATTTATACAGAACTATCATCAACATGCAATTAGCCACAGGACTCTGTAAAGTTTAACTATTTCATCCTTGATTTAAGTGCCAAATCGTCTTGAGAGTTAGAATTTACGTGGTTTCAATTCTTTCTTTATTGGTTTTAACTTTATATTCTTAAGATACTATGATAGAGCCTGAGTATAATATCATTTTCTAAATTCGGACATCTGTACTTTTAGTTTATTTATTTCAATATTTTCTATTATATATTTACATGCGACTATGTAATTAAGGATATAAACATGTTTTCTCTGTACCGACGTAATGTATTGGCTGTATGAGAATAAAGATTATATACCGATAAGTGACGGAGGACGATTTCTGTTAATTTTTATACTTGGGGAAACAGCCACGAGAAGGAAATCTGCGACAGAAGAAAAAATCATTCAAAACTTTTTTTTTCTGATTTCCGACATTTTAAATTTAAGTTTATTTATTTTTAGATATTTTCTATAGGGCATATGCTCAGCGGTAGTCGTTGGTTGTTGTATATCATATTTGTTTTTCGTTTATTTTTTTGTACATAAAACAAGCCGTCAGTTTCCTCGTTTGAATTGTTTTTTTCAATTATCATATCGGGACCTTTTATAGCTTACTATGGGGATATGAGGGTCTAGATAGGGTTTACAGAATAATGGACAAAAAGTGCAGAATAAAGGACAGAAAATATAAAAATAGAGAAAATAGTCCAAAAAGATAAAAGTATAGAAAATAATGGGGTGATAAGATATAAAGTAGAGAGAATAATGGACAAAACTTAAAATGAATAGAGAAAAATGTCTTAAAAAAATAAAGAATATGGAAATGAAGGTCCCCCATCCAGACCCTCCATTATGCGGTTTGTCGTGATGTTTTGAATAACTTTCTAATTTCATTTAAGATTTAGTAAGCTATCTGTTTCTCAACATTGTGTGAAAAAACTTTAACCAAATTATGTTTATTTACAATACGCCTTTCATTTCTTACATTAATCCACACATGTTTTCATCTTATAGAGTTAATCTTTTCAATGTCCGTTTTATCAGTTCTTTTCTAGTACTTATAGTGACAGTAAACCGTTTTCAATTATTATCTATTGTTAAGTGTAAGATTTTGTTTCATATGTTTTGTTAATTTTCAAAGATCTATTGTTACATAATCTTAATTCTTTGGCAACCTGAAGACATTATTTTCCTTAATCATTTGTTGACTGAAGCTTTGAGTTATCCTTTTGAGCTGATATCATCCATGATTACTTAAAAAAAAAAAAAATCCCAATAAAAAGTCGTGGTTTGAAAACTTTTGCTCTCTGACTATCATCAGTCTTTGTGTTATTTCCACCAGTGGGGGGTCAGAGTTCTTTAGGCAGGTGACCAATCGTCTATCACTGCGGCCATTGCTTGGGAGCATGTTTAATCCTGCCACTCTCTGTAGGTGCCTGTCCAAAGTCAGGAGCCTTTAATTCTGTATTTGTCGTTTGTTGCATATTTGTTTGTCGTTTATTGCTTTGTACATAATTCAGACCGTTAGTTTTCTCGTTTGTCATTTCGCTGCTTTTATAGCTTTCTATGCGGGATGGGGTTTAATTGCTCATTGATGAAGGTCGTACGTTGATCTATTGTTGCTAATTTCTATGCCATTTAGACTCTGTTGGGGAGTTGTCTCAATGGCATTCATACTTCATCTTCTTATTTTCATAAAGACATCTAGAGGTCAATACATATTTTGTGTCTGGCCCCAAAAACCCAAGAAATCGTTAAGCATGCCAATAAACCCTTTTCGTCCACATGTAAACTATAATAAAACAAGAAAACAATTTAATTTCTGTTAGCTGTAAATGATCGAATGATTCCCTTTTATCTCTATTTTATTACATAAAAACCGATCAATAATAATTTATACCTGTTAAAGATCGATAGTCAATATGGAAAGATCGCGTTCATTTTTTGTTACTTTTAAATGACTGAATAATCTTAAATGGTATACGTCTCAATACACATTCATGCAGTTGCTCATTCATTGGAACGGTAGTGAATACAAACTTTAAAACGACCTTTTCATATTTTTGTTTATTTGTTTATTGAATATATATGTTAGAATATACGAGTTCATTATTGGCATATTAACAAGTCAGATATTTAGTGCACCCCTGTGCAAAGCTTTGACGACGCCTACAAAAGTTAAGTAAAAAAATGGAGTTAAATTACAAATATTGTCGGTGAAATGATAATTGAATGTGTATTGGAGATTTATTGATTAATTGTGTGATTTATTTATTTGATGTACATTTATTTATCACATACTAGGTGAAGATCTTTAAAACCCGGTGACGAAATTTCTATTACGAATTTGGACTTTAAGTTTTGGATTAAAGTAGATTAATCTGCATTTGTTTGGATTAATTTCCATATGGGTGTGTATATTTGATATAATACGACTCAGACATTGAAAAGTATACTTTACGTAAGATTTTATAATTTGAAAATATAAGAATTTTATGAAATAATTTTAACGTGATGGGATCCGGTTCTAGCAAAGAGAAGTCAAACGATGTGCGGATAACTTTAAAAAACACAGACAAGAAATCGGACGCATTGTCTCCGAAGTCACAAGTGAATTCAAATAGCGCAGTCAAAAGTGAAAATATCAAGAATTCAAAAAACAAGTTTTCAGAAAAACAATTAAACGGAAATACGAACAAGTTAGCTCGAATTGAAAATAATAATAAGACAAATTCCAGGATTCCTCAACCTTTCGATGACAGTAGCGATGATGATGCTGCTGATTTGTTGAAAGATGAATGGAGAAGTAAAAAAAATTCTACTGGAAATAAAAATACGAACATTAATTCAAATGGCAAAGTGAAAACATGGCAACCGCCCGAGCCTCCAAAAGGGGACTATCCCGAAACGTATGCTCAAAAGTTGCAAAGAGAGCAATATACACAACAACAGCTTTTACGACAAAAGACAATTTACAGAAATCCAGATGAATGGGAAATAGATCAGGTACGATTGTTAAACGATTCACACCCTTCCTACTTTCACATGTATATTAATTTATTTTCAAATTCGTCCTTGTCATTCTTTTTCCTTGCGTTTTACATAAACTTTATATCTATGTCTATCTACTCATTTTGTCTACTGTTTCTGCACAAGGCTTCTTTACCAAATAGTTGTCAAAATTTCACCGTAACTGTATAGACAACCATTTGGGTGATACTATCTCAATTAACCTTCAACCAAAAACGATATTCTGTATTTTCAATGAAGATCAAAAGGAGATGGGGTATACGCCAACGCAATACAGCTTCAAAAATAAATAAAAGACAGTTATAGAGGAGAAGCTATTTCAAGCTCTTCATCGTCCCGAGTCTTCAAATCTTGAATTTTGAATGACTTAAACAGTAACATTCAAGGATCTGCCTTTAACATCAAATTCTACAAATTTATAAAGGTATGACATTGGACAACCACTAACGAGGTTCCTGATTTGGGACAGACGCATGTCCAAATAACAAAAAAAAAACATTAAGATATAACATAAGAAAACTACTCACGAGGTTCCTGTCCTGGGACAGACAGGCACATGTCCAAATAACAAAAAAAAAACATTAAGATATATCATAAGACAAGCATTAGCGAGGTTACTGCTTTGGGTCAGGCACTCTTATTTCAATTGTTAAACTCGATCTTTTGAACAAAAAATATAATAAGTTTTTAAAATACACTTTAGAAATATTTATTAAATAAAATCTGTGTTTTGTTATTAATAAGACAAGGAGTTATTTTGCTTTGGGTTTGTCAACAACGTGCAGGGATTCTGTGTCATGAATAAAAAGCCATTTTGTCAACAACATGTGTTAGGATTATGTATTATGAATAAATACATGTTACGATGATGTACTATTTTCCCTTCTTTTCTATCTCCCTGTCCTTCTACATGCACAACACACTATATGTTAGCACCATGTTGAAGCCTCATTGTGACTTTTGACACGTAAAACAGCTATGAAAGTGCCTTTTCTTTCCTTTGCTTTTGTTTTTTTTTTAAGTGTATGAAGTGATTATGTGTACTTAATTTCTACACCACTTCCCCCCTTTGTAATTATAATATATGTAACTATACGTTTCATTTCATGCTGTAATCACATTTACAATTCAGCATACAAAATCTCCGAACGGATCACTATGGAACGTAAGTTTTACAAATCTACTTTACCTCATCTTGTTTGGGACAGGGTCAAACAAGGTCAAGAAAACACACGTCTTTTTGAAGGTTTAACGCCCTTTCCAGGTGCGGATCCAGGATTTTGAAAAAAGGGGGGGGGGGTGGTAAGTTAATGTTTGGAGTGACACTTGTAAAAAGTGTATGCATCTATCGCATATCAAGCTCCTTAAGGAGGGTCGAACCCCTCCCCCCTAAATGATCCGTCTCTGCTGTCTTAACTTTTCATATTAATATAATTCATTGGTAGTTTTTTTAAATTATTTCCTCCTTCGAACCCTCCTCATTTTTTTTTTTAGTTTTGTAACTATAAAAAAGATGTGTATTTTTTTACCAATTTCGTCAGCACTTTCCTGATAGATATTTATATGGGTAACCGTATACAGCCTCGGAATATAAAATTGACTTGTACGAGCCTATAACCGGGTATTTCTATCCTGTCTCGTACAAGTAAGTCTTATATCCGAGACATTATGTCTTCTGTGATAGTTCATTTTATACTACAATTACTCGTAATCATTAAGAAGAACTATTTTTGGTGTAAAGATGTAAAGGTTGGCTAATTCGAAGGAGACGTAATATCACAATTAAAAAGAAGGCTCTTTTATACGACTAACAGTCGCTACACACCTCAAAAGATTACACAGTCAGCACAAATTACCTAATTTGAAAAAGGTATAGAATGAACAAATATAACTGGCCATGGTGGTGTTGGGCATTATCTAAGGGAAACAGGTTGATTACAACACATATTTAGTTTAATGTAGATAGAATATAATTATCTAACTATCATACAGCATTTCACAGGTCTAATATTACAGCTTAGCCTCGTAATTTTAACAAGTGGGTCTCATTGGGGTCTAAGCGTGACGCGGGATTGCCGATTTTTTGTAAGCGTGACACGTGAAAGTCAAATTATTGTGCCGTGAAAACGGGAAATGAAGTCTAGCGGGACACGGGAAATTACAAAAAAATGAGAATTGCTTACGTACATAGTGTAAGCGGGATACGGGAATCTGACAAAACAGTAAGCGGGATCCGGGATCAGAACCCCCCAATGAGACCCCCTAACAACAATTCTGTAATATATTGCCAATCTTGGTTGAATATATTCATTTGCATTAGTATATTTTTCCCGATTCCTGATATTGGGAATTTGGAATAAAGGAAAACCCAGACTCAGCATATAAAGCCATGTTTAAATACAGTTTTAGAACTCAAAAGATAATAAAAAGATTCTTTTATAATGCCATCGAGTTTTGTAGAGTTAGTTCTGTTTTTTCGTTTACAATCAAAATTTTCAGATACTTGAATCGGGTTGCGAAACAAAGGCTTGAACCATTTCTAAGAATTAACTATTCCATAGACAGTATGATACAATGAGTTAAGAAAGTGACCCGGATGGAAGTTAGATATATCTGTCATATTTGATGAAAACTTGTCACTTTTTTTCCCGGAAACTTGATTCAGTTCTGATTTTAATGAATACAATTATAGCACAAATGTCTGTTCCAAGTCAGGAATATTGCAGTTGTTTATCACTTGTTCCGTTGATTGATAGCGTTTCATTTTGTCAGTTTCTATGGACTCCCCCCTTTTTAAATTTGCCTTTGAGTTCGATATTTTTGTCATACTTTTTTGTCGAAAGGACTAGGGCCGATTTCCCCTGTATTTGTTTCACTCACAGCGGTCAAAATCTAAAAGATGCCAAAATTTACGGAAATTGAATGTAAAAAAAGAGTCTATACCATATATTTTTTAAAACACTGTTTCAGAAATTTACATAATTATTTTCATAAAATATCAATGCTACATATTTCTGTTGAAGACATTTTGATACAAAGTTGCAGATTTTACATGTTTTTGTAAAAGTTTACATCGAAGGAGGTCGCTGACCAAAATCAATTAATATGCATCCGGAATACAATACATTGCTTTACTCCCAATATAATTTTGGTTCTTGTTGACAATTTCTTTCTTATACATTTTTGGGATATAAACTCAAAATTTGCAAAATACTTTCAAAATACGGCTTTGTGCATTACTTGTGCATTTATTAGTTGATGGCCTGTTTAAAAATGATCTAAAATTTTGTTAGAACCTAACAGTACACACATTGGGCTGTGTGTGTTACTATGAATTTAAGTAGAGATTGAAAGACGTTTAATGCATGGCCCTTGTGTGAAATAAATTCAGAGCAAATTGGCCCTAAGCCTTTAAAATGAATGTGTGGTGCGTTAAAACAATGATTAACTCAATGTTTGTTTTGGGTTTTGGATTTTCACATTTTGGCCTCAAGCATCACTAAAGAGACATGCAGTAAAATTGGTACCGTTAATGTTATACTTCGTAACACTTTTTGCTGTTGTTGATTTTATTGATTGATCGATTGGTGTATAACGCCACTCTTAGCACTATTGCGCTATTTCGTGGCGGTCAGTTTTTATTGGTGGAGGAAGCCGGAGTGCCTGGAGAGAACCACCGACCTTCGGTAGGAAAACTGATAATCCCAGTCAAGTAAGACTGGAGTCGAGCGCACCTGCCACGCGCGGGATTCGAACTCACAACCTCAGTGTTGACAGGCTAGTGGTACAGTAGTTCGACTACTTAGACCACTCGGACACCAAGGCTCCTGCTGTTGTTGAACAGGATGTTTAAAAAAAATCGAATACTGTAGCCGACTGTACTATTAATATAAAAAGAAGGAGATTATCGCGGACTTCGAAAAATATAAAAAAAAATCAAGAATTGACAGGAAGCATGAATCAATATTTAACTCCACCAAGGGACACATTGGTACTCAATCTCTATCAGTAAATTAAACATACTGGTACGTTCTTCGCGACATAAAATAAACATTAATTATTAAAATGAACATCATGAAATTAGACATTTACAATTTCACTGTATCTACACGAGTCTGAACCATTCATATTTGAAAGAACGTAATAATTATTTTTTAACATAATCAGTTTCATAACAGTCAGGATACATTGCGTTTTCAGTATGAAAAAATAAATATATTAATTGAAAAAGAAATATTTATATTTGGGAAAGTTCGGAAAGCCGACGAACTTAATTGTTCCGAAAGTTCGTATATTAGATTCTCGTGGAAGTCATGGTGCAAAAAAAGAAGGAATGTTTTTTCTTTTCTTATTTTATTTTTTTTTTTTCTTTCTGGGTGGTGTTGTTTCATTGACTATTTTTTGTTTAATCTGATTAGCTTATATAGTGATATGCACGTGTTTTGCATTGGTGTGTACGTGATATTTTTACTACTGGACTGATTCTTGAACCATGATATAAACATGATAAATCTTATAAATAAATTAGTTACATATAAAAATAAGAAGATATATTTGGTATGATTGCCAATGAGACAACTCTCCACAAGAGACCAAATGACACAGAAATTAACAAATGTAGGTCACCGTACGGCCTTCAACAATGAGCAAAGCCCATACAGAAACATGTATTTCATCATTGATACTTGGAATCTTTAGATAAATATTGTTTATCTCGTGTATTTTAAGATAATAGTCAATGCTCTTCAGCTTCGTACTTTTTTATTCGAGCGTCACTGATGATCTCGAATCTTTAACAAACGAAATGTGCGTTTGGCCCGAGTCTATCTTAATAGTAATCTCCGGTCTGGCGAACAAAAGTATAAGCCTGGTATCTTCGATGAGATTATTTTTATTCAAATAGTTTTGGCCTTTGATTTTACAGTATAGCTGTGGTAAAGTGATAGGGTCAACTTTCCCTGTGTTTGTTTCACCCTGAAGGTCAAATCTAAAGGTTATCAAATGCTGTTGGAAATTTAATATTAACGAGTGTATATCATGGACTTTTAAGTGTTTTTTTTTCAATAAATTTACATTATATGTTTATCAATTTTATTCAGTGCTTCATGTTGTTGTTAAGTGGATTTTGATACAAAATTACAAATCTACCAATATAAAGTTTTTGTAAGATCTTGCTTCTAAGGACGTCGCTAACAAACTTCAATAATTAATGTGTTTTCGAAGGACAATGAGTGGCTACACTTACCGCACACGTGTCCTCCTTGTATATTTGTTTAATTGGAGACTCAAAATTTGCCAAAATCTTGTCAAAATTACAGTTTTTAGTCGAATTTGGTCTCATGTTAAAAAATACACTAAAATGTTGTTAAAACCTTAAAGCACACATTTTAATCTATAATACAGAGTATTTGAGCGAAAGGTTGACGGACTTGTAGAAAATTGCCTTGATGTAAAAAAAAAAAAAATCCGTGGAAACTGGCCCTACATGTACCTCTTTATCTAGAATAGATCTTCTCACTTGTCTGATTTAGACAAGCCTGATAACTGATAGCCACCCTATGTCAATGTTATGCATGCAGTCAAGGTGAGCGATACACAACAATTTTGGGTCTCTTTTTTTATATATACCGATACTTCAGGTATCATCAATAATTTATGATCAATTCAAAAAAATAAAATATTGTGACGTATATATTAAGTTTCTGTGGGGTAACTGTCCCATGTGCAGTGTCTTTAGTTAAACACGACTTTTAAGAATTTGTTTATTTGTTCTGCGGTCCAGATTTAAAATGAATGTTTAAAATCTTGTTGAAATTTTAATAGTTTAAGCTAATGACCCCTTACATGTGGTTTTACAAAATAAGACATTTAAATAACCGTGAAACAAACGTGATCTTATTTTTACACCTTTATCAGCACAGTTCTCAAGTACATACTAAGGTTTTGTTTTAAATATTTAAATTGCTTTCAATTTTATCAATTTTAGAAGAATTCGATACAAGTAGACAGCTACTAGATGTAAGATAACACCTCGTTTGTTATTGAGATCTTAACGCTTGACTTTAGAAACTGCGTAGGTACGACATTTAAAAATATAATCCTAAAAAGTGTACAACACCACTAAAATTTTTAAACAAGGAAAAAGGTAAATTGATAAAAACATCG